AAAATGAATGCTAATAATACTAGTTCATATAAGAATTATAATATCAGAGTAAACTTTTCCAAATTTTTTTGTAATTTAATACAATAACAAGTCAACGATCTTCTTGATTAACAGTGCTGAAATTTAACCAGTTTCGATGAGAATTCTTATTGTTAGTTATTTAATAGCAACTTGCCAAATTTATATAGAACTAAATTCGACTATCATAAGCACTACCTTTTAGTACTACTTAAAATTCGAATCATTTTATCACCTAATTCTTATTATGCAGGAGAATTTTGAGGATAGAATGCCCATCATACATCACCTATTAAAATTATTACAGTTTTACTGATTTAACGATGCAAGCCCTGATGGACTTTCTTTCTTTACTAGAACTTTAATGGGCGCTTTATCTCTTAATCTTGGTGGTGCTCCTGAAGGGCCTGCAGGAACTGGTAAAACAGAAACATGTAAAGATTTAGCCAAAGCTATTGCCAAACAGGTTGGTAATCCCCGATGCCATTATAGCGATTTCCTGTTATGTATACAATTCATTTATTGCATTTATAATTTCAAATTATTTAAACGAAATCTTCTTTATAAGATGTACAAGCGTTGAACCAATTATAAAAAATAAGATTTTCCAACTCAATATCAATTCTGCTTGAATTTTATACTAGCATGGAGTTGTTCACCTTGTTTTAATCGTGTGCATTATTTTTAATTTATTAGTGTGTCGTATTTAATTGCTCTGATGGTCTTGATTACAAAGCCATGGGAAAATTCTTTAAAGGTTTAGCGCAAGCTGGTGCTTGGGCTTGTTTCGATGAATTTAATCGAATTGAATTAGAAGTACTCTCTGTTGTTGCCCAGCAAATACAAAGTATTCAGCGTGCGATCTCTGAACAAGTCCAGACATTTGTCTTCGAAGGAACGAAGCTAAAACTAGATCCGTCTTGTACAATCTTTATTACTATGAATCCTGGATATGCTGGACGAGCTGAATTACCAGATAATTTAAAGGTAACCAAGGCAGAAGCCATTATCTGATACTCACTGTCTCTACTAAGTGATCAATTTGATGCATTAGCAATATCCATGATAATCAAAGGACTAAAATGCTTACTGAAATGTCTTCATTCAGGTATTATTCCGTACTGTGGCTATGATGATCCCAGATTATGCTATGATAGGAGAAATTGTTCTATATTCAATGGGATTTGTAGACGCAAGAAATTTATCCACCAAAATTGTGGCAACCTATCGTTTATGCTCTGAACAGGTAATAATCTTATTTTTTTTCATTTCCACATATACAAACTTTAAAGGATATGCATGGATTGCAGTTATATTAATCGAAAAATTTCAAAAAAACTACTTTCGTAGCTTTCTTCTCAGCATCATTATGATTACGGTATGAGAGCCGTTAAAAGTGTACTGCTTGCTGCTGGCAATTTAAAATTGAAACATCCTCAAGAATCAGAGGATAAGTTACTGCTTCGATCTCTTATGGAAGTTAATTTACCGAAGGTTAGCTTAAAATAGGAATTATGGGTGTTTTAAGACATTTTATAATGCAGTCCTTTTCTTTACGTTGTCGTAAATTAAATTTTTTGAATATGAGATTTACTCGACTTCTAGGAAGTATCGTAAATAATTGACTCTTGTTTACAGTTTTTAGTGCCAGATATAGTATTGTTTGAAGGAATTATTAGCGATCTTTTTCCTGGAGTCATCTTGCAAAATAAGGATTATGGTGATCTACAAGCAGCTTTACATGACAGTATAAAGGAACAAAAATTGCAGTCTAACCCTTGGTTTATAAGAAAAATTGTTCAAGTAAATTAAAAACTTATGGTTTGCTTAGAGTTACTTAGTAATTAAATTCTTATTTATACGATAAATAACGTAGTAATAGTAGAATATTGTGAATGTATGTTGTCATTTCTTAATACTATGGCTGTCTCTTAAAACCTAAAATTTAGATCTACGAGATGATGCTGGTAAGACATGGATTTATGATCGTAGGAGATGCCTTAGGTGGTAAAACATCTGCCATTCGAGTATTAGCACAAGCTCTGACTAAACTGTATAACACAAAAAGTTCCTTTAAGGAGAATGCTGTAAGTATATGCTTAGTAAAAGTCTTTCAAGCCTAATTTCAGTTGCTAATACACGTATTGAACGTTGTCGTTGCCGTAATAATTCAACAGCCATATCAATTTAAATCGAAATTATTCGGATCCTAATTCTATATAGGTTCAATATCAAATCATAAATCCTAAAGCAGTTACTATGCAACAATTATATGGTAGCTTTGATCCTGTGTCCCACGAATGGTCTGATGGTAATCATCACTTAGCAATAATATATAAGAATGATTAAATCAATAACTTATTCACAAATGTATTTTTTTAAATCTGATGAGGCATATTGAATTTACATTAAAATAATGATCTCATAGCCATAAGAAGAAATATTATCAATTGTAACTGTATGCTTAACGCCCTCGTTCGATATTCTTTATTATTATAGGGGTACTAGCAAAGGTCTTTAGAGAACAGGCAGCTTCACTGACAGAAGACAGAAAATGGTGCATATTCGATGGACCTGTTGACGCTGTATGGATCGAAAATCTTAATACCGTGTTAGACGACAACAAAAAGGTTAGTTTCATGTTAGAAAAATTAGCAAAAGATTCGATAGCAATCTAAAATAGCTAATTATCTACCTCTCTCGATGTTATTAATGAAAACTTTTAAAATGTATCTATATCGATGAAACCCATCCTTTCATGTTATCATTTCATTACTTAATAGAGTTTTAGTAACTTTTATTAACAGCGACAATATTAACTAAATCGCTTGGCCTATATTAACAGCTTTGTCTGATGAGTGGTGAAATTATCCAAATGAGTCAACGGCAAAATATGATATTTGAACCTGCTAATCTTGAACAAGCATCACCAGCAACTGTTAGTCGGTAAGTAGCAGCTGAAAATTTATTGAATAATACAGATAGGTAGGGATCTACAAGAATAGAACAAGATGAATATATAGATAGACAAAAGTGTATGTTAATGGCCACATATATCATTTTTAGATGTGGTATGATCTATATGGAGCCTTCGCAGTTAGCTCCTGCAACTCTGGTGAAATCATGGATTGAGAATTGTTTACCTAAAACCTTAACTGAGCCTCAAGTCAAAACTGTTGAGGTTAAATATCAGATTTCGCTTTGTAGATATAGCTTTCATCAATTAATGTTTGCTCTATCCCAAAATGATCATTTCTATAAATTGTATTAACCATATCTTTACCGAATGCTACTGTAGAACATGTTTAGTTGGTTATTACCACCATGTCTGGATTACGTGCAGAATTGTCGACAATTTGTTAAGGTTTCATCAATGCATTTGACCATGTCTATGCTTCAGCTCTATGACTGTCTGGTTGAAGAATTAAGGTAAATATATATAGTAACTTTATCGGATGATATTTTCATGTTGTCGCATATCGAAGTTACTACTTATTTCTTCCATCTTGTTGAATAAGCAAGGCTTACAGAAAAATGAGCACTAAATTCCATTTTTATATTGACTTTTGAAATAGACACGAACCTCCAAAAAAAGATGAATTAGAAGAAATTATTGAAGAAGAACAGGAATCGAGAGAAAATGATGGCGTATCTCCTACGCCCTCCAATATTAATCCTTTAACTCTTGAATCAGATAATATTAATGAGGACGGCAGACCCGATAATGTAGTTCGTGCATGGTTGCAAGCTTTATTCCAGTTCGCTTTAGTATGGAGCCTCGGAGCGGTTATTGAAGGAGATAGCCGTGCAAAGTAAAAGCGACATCACTACATGGAAATTGGAATCTATCTATAATTAATTCTCTTACCATTATTAATAATATCCAATTATTTCTTGTAGGTTTGATGAATGGTTTAAACCATTAGCTGCTGGGACTAACAAAAACTTTCCATTGTAAGTTCCAACGATGTCTTAAAATTGATTACATGCACCATTACTGCATCGGAGAGAATTCGATTGATTTTTTTTCCTTAAATGGTGTTGTAAACTTGATTTCAGACCAAAAGATTTGAAGATGCCGAAAAACATTCAATATCCAAACCGCGGCTCTATTTACGAATATGTATACTTAAAATCTGATGTTGGTGGAATGTGGAAGAAATGGGAACATACCCGTGAAAATATTCCTATTCCAGCAACAGCCAATGTAAGCAAAATAGGTTGCTTCGTAGATGTATAAAGTTTTAAGTCCGTAATCAAATTTTTAAGTTGTCAATAACAAAATATAAACGATACTTTGAACTCCTATTAGCTGTATTCGCTACGGTTACTTTGTCAATAATGTTACTGTAGTTTAGCCCTAAAACCATGATTACTATTTCTTTGGAAATTTTTTAGATTCATGAAATTATTGTTCCAACAATGGAAACGATTCGACAGGAATTCTTCTTAAATGAATTCATAAAGAAAGAAAAATCTTTAATGTTTATCGGCCCTACCGGTACGGGCAAAACGGCAGTAGTTATTAACCATTTAATTAACTTACCCAAGGAGAGGTACTGATTGGACTAAATTCCTTAATATCCATATAGCTTTTTTTAATTTTCCCAAAATGTTCTTAATTGGTTTCAATGCTAATTCTGTCTAATTTTATCCCTAGCTATCTACCAAATAATATCAACTTTTCAGCTCGCACTTCATCATTACAAACTATGGATTTATTCATGTCAAAATTAGATCGGTGAATATTAATCAATTATAATGAAATAGTACTTGATTAATCATCTGAACTAATGAAAGAATCCTATGATTAATCCAGGCGACGACGAGGTGTTTATGGACCAACTCTAAGTAGGAAAATGGTCGTTTTTGTCGATGATGTTAACATGCCAATGAAAGAAAAATATGGTGCACAGCCACCAATAGAGTTACTTAGACAGCTTTTAGATCATAAGTATTGGTTTGATAGGTAAATACGTATATTAACGCAGTTCAAATGCAACTAGATGGTATTATATGCCGGCAGTATATTATTCACATTTAAAATTTGAAATTTTTCGCTTAATTTTTTTCACTAATCATTATTCTGCGATTGGTTGTTGCTGTAGGAAAGATAATAGTATCTTAACACCAGTGGATTGGATTGTATTGGCAGCTATGGGTCCCCCTGGTGGAGGTCGAAACATGGTTTCATCTCGCTTTCTACGCCATTTTAATATTATCGGAATTGATTCATATGATGAAATATCAATGCGGAGCATTTTTCAAGCAGTAACCGATTGGCATTTCAACAGAGGCTTTGAAAATAGTTTGAAAAAATTTTCAAGGGTAAAGTTATAGCGTCTAGACCCATCTTGAGATCATCTATAATTATTCTTAGTAAATTAAAAGGGAACAGTACTATCAGTTTGGAGTTTTATCAAATTTTAACTATCACATAATAGAATCATCTATTTTAAATTAATTTCACTTTATATATTCAGTACGGTAGCCACTTGCACTAACTTAAAGTATAATGTGATATAGTGTCTAGACTCATCTTGAGATCATCGATAATTCTCTTGTGCAAAATTGAACTGTGCATATATATATATAATTATTCATAGTAAATTAAACCGAAATTGTACTATCAGTTTCGAGTCTTTTTAGGATTTTAACTGATATAGAGTAGAATCATCTACCATAAATTAATTTCGAAGTAGCTAATGGCATTAGCTTCGGTATAATATGTTTACTTATTTATTCATAGATTGTTGTTCATGCTACACAAATGATTTACCATCTCGCTGTATCCCACTTTCTGCCAACGCCTTCCAAGTCTCATTATGTTTTCAATTTGCGCGATTTCGCTCGCGTAATTCATGTAAGTAAATGTATTGACGATAAGTATTAGTGCCTAGGTCGATGCGGCGTTCAATGTAATCAAAGCATTATTAATTTAATCTTATCTATGAATTTTTGGAGTCTAATAATTTAATGCTAATTCCTTAAATTTCTTAAAATCTACAATTAATTGATATCCTAGGGATTTCTCCTTCTAAAACCTGAAGCATTAAATAACTGTAGCAACCCAGCATCGAAAATTGTTCGTTTGTGGGTTCATGAAGTTTATCGCGTATTTTATGATCGTTTAGTCGATGATAAAGATCGTAAATGTTTCTTCGAGCTCGTTGAGGTGATTGTGTATGAAGTTACCTTAGTATTGTCAAAATTTAATGTATCTCGATATAATAATTATCTAACTAATCCTAATATAAAATACTTTATCTTGAATCCTCTAGAAATGTGTTGGAATGCAATTTAAACTCAAATTTAAAGAAATATTTTCTCATCTAATTGATAATGGCTCTGAATTTACTGATGAAACTCTACGAAAGTACATATTGTAACATTCGCACCATTTCAAATATGAATCAATAATACAATCTTGATTTGAAAATATCATTTTAAAGCTGTGCATATATTTATTACGAAATACTAAAATAGTTAAATATTCATGTCTAATGTCTTTAATGGTAGTTTGCTATTTTTGAAATAATGGCTGGGCTAAGCATAGCTTCAATATATTGTAGCGTTATCGAAGAATTTTCTATACTAATTGCAGCGATAACTATTTTACGAATTCTTTCAAAACATGCACTAATGCTGGCCTTGAATTACACAATCAGATTGTATTTTGGTGACTATGTTGATGGTGGCCAAAGAGGATACGATGAAGTAACCGACTTTTCCGAATTGAAGGAGGTACAGTCTAGCTTAAGTGATATCAGCGAAAACGTTTTTTAACTTAATTATCTTCAAAAAACTTTGCAGTTGAAATTAATATTGAAACTGCTTATCGCATATTTTGATAATTTCTGTTTTAATTTACTATCCTTTATAGACTATGGGCCGCTTTCTGAACGATTACAATTCGGAGAGTAAAGCGCCCATGGATTTAGTTTTATTTGGATTCGCTATTGAACACATATCGAGAGTCAGCAGGATACTTCTACAGCCGAAAGGCCATGCTCTGCTCGTCGGTAAATGTTATCACCGTTTAAGCTATTATAATTGTATCGAAACCTTATGGTTATTCCTATATTTACTATAATTATTTCGTTCCTATTGTTTTTGATCGTAGGAATTGATGGTTGTGGTCGGCGAAGTGTGACTAGATTGGCGGCTTTTATCGCTTCCCATCAAGTTTTTCAAATAGAAGTTACGCGAAATTATTCATTTCACGACTGGAGGGATGATATCCGTAAAATGTTACAGGATGCAGGTACAAACGGCAAATCGACAGTGTTCCTATTGGCAGACAATCAACTAAAGGCAAGTTTATGTAACTACAGCTATAGTCTCATGTCTATCTTACTACTGTAGCAAAAGCGGTATAACATATTTGGACTAGTTTAAAATTTTCGTTTATGACTCTAATATACGGTTTCAATTCAGTTGTTATTGTTTATCTACGTGAAACTAATTAAAATAGTATTTTTCATGAGATGTCTAGTAGTTAAAATGATTGCCTCGTAGCACTATAGCAAAAATTAGTTATGTTTAAGTCAATATTATTAGTCTTCAATTTGGAAATAAATCGGAATAAAACAATATCTGATAAATATGTAGGAAGAATCTTACTTAGAAGATATTAATACATTACTGAATACGGCTGATATCCCCAATCTCTACGATGCAGAAGAACGAGCTGAAATTATAGATAAGGTATAACTGATGTGTGGTAATTTAGCACATGATATTTAAATTAAGTAACGATTTCACCTAGTGAAAAATAGTAATAGCGAATACTTTGTATGGTGAAATAAATGATTTAGTTCACAAATCATTATTTTCCATCAAAATTAGATGCAGAAAGTAGCGCAAGAACGCGGCGTTAAGGTTGAAGTAGCCACTCAGTCCTCTATGTATAATTTATTTATTGAGCGTATTCGTCAAAATTTACATATTGTGATCGCAATGAGTCCTATCGGCGATACATTCCGAAATCGACTGAGGATGTTTCCATCTTTAATAAACTGTTGTACCATAAATTGGTTTCAAGTAAGCTGATATTTACCTTGAAGGATTTGGACCAAAACTTATATACTATTGCGACTATTTCTTTAATTTGGGAATTATTATTGTAATAGGTATGGCCTGAAGATGCTTTGGAAATGGTAGCTAATTATTATTTAGATGATGTAGAAATGGATTCTAGGATCCGAACGGAAAGTGTTAGCTTGTGTAAATACTTTCATGAAAGCATTCGGGCTTTATCGAATAGGTATCTTAAGTCATACTTAAATTTGGCTGTTGTTAGTAGAGTAAACACTATAAAGAACTTAAGACTATTTATTCAAAGTTATCTTTTTAAGCTCATGTAAATAATGAATTTTTGATAGATACGAGGAATCATTGGGACGACATAATTATGTCACACCGACATCCTATCTAGATTTAATACGATTATTTAAGACCCTTTTAGCCAGGAAAAGATTAGATATCCTTACATTAAAAAACCGTTATTTGACTGGCTTGCAGAAACTTGACTTTGCTTCATCTCAGGTTAGAATAGTACATGCTTTTAGGTGAGCTCCAATAATAATAACTCGGTAAATTAATTTTTATTCTATTTACTGCAATCTAGATATCAGTAATGCAAACTGAATTGACCAACTTGAGGCCTGAGCTAATTTATACTAGTGAGGAGACGGAAAAACTGATCGATTATATAAAGGAAGAAAAGATAACAGTAGATGGAAAAAGAAAAGTTCGTTTATATTTGGAGACACTTATTCTGTTAATTTACTTATCTAATGAAAACCTATTCTTTGGTTTATAACATAACAGTTTGATGCTATACTGCTATCGCGTTTAAAATGTTAAATAAAATGTATTCGTAAATGTTCTGAATGTAATCGTACCATTTTCTACAGGTTGTAGAAGCCGAAGAAGCGGTAGCTAATAAAGCGGCTATGGAAGCACAAGCTATTAAGGTTTATTAGCAGTAACTTAGCAGTAATCCATGGCTATTGTATATTTGTCGATATTGTTAGTAAATTTTATTTAAATATGATTCAGTCACATATCTATTGATTTGTATTTATAGCAAGATTGTGAGGAAAAACTTGCCGTAGCTTTGCCAGCGCTTAATGCTGCTATTTCAGCATTAGATACGTTAAAACAATCAGATATCAGCACCATCAAATCTATGCAAAATCCACCAAATGGTGTTAAACTTGTCATGGAAGCTGTTTGTATTATGAAAGTAAGTAATGCTATAATGAATAAATAAAACCATATTCTATGATATCAGAATTCATGATCGTTTATGGTTTCTAGATGCAAAAATTGTGATTAATGCGATTATTCTGTAGGGAGTGAAATGCGAAAGACGCCCAGACCCAGCTCAGAACAACAAGCTAGCAGATGATTGGTGGTATACATCTAAAAAAGTGATGGGAGACTTAAAGTTTTTAGATTCTTTGAAAGAGTTTGATAAAGATAATATTTCAGCTAAGATTATACAGAAGATACGAAATAATTATATTAATAATCCAGATTTCAATCCAGATGCTATCAAAAATGCATCGACAGCCGCAGAAGGCATGTGTCGTTGGGTTCGAGCAATGGAAATTTATGATCGTGTAGCTAAAGTAGTTGCTCCCAAGAGAGCGCGTTTAGCATCTGCCGAGAAAGAATTAGAAACTCAAATGGTACAGCTAGAACATAAGCGAGAAGAACTAAAAGTTGTTGTCGATAAATTGGATTTACTGAACGACAATTTTGAGGCAAAGATAAATAAAAAACAGGTATTTTGTTTGTGAATAGATACGACGCTTCAGATGAAAGTATTAGTCCTCTATTTTAAACTAATAAAATTCTCTAATTTATTTATGCAATAGGATTTAGAAGACAGTATTAAAATGACTGGAGAGAAATTAGTTCGAGCAGAAAAATTAATTAGTGGATTAGGAGGTGAAAAAGAGAGATGGGAACGATGTGCCAAAGAACTTGGCTATAATTACTTCAATATAGTTGGCGATGTATTACTTTCCTCCGCTATTATTGCTTATTTAGGCCCTTTCACGGTGCATTTCCGCCAGGTAATTTCCTAATTTAGCGCTTGTAGAATCGTTATCTCTCCATATTAATTCGATTTTCTCATCAGTTGGAGTAAATAATGTATCTTATGAACAAAGCTAAAGATTTGCATATTTGCACCAATCGTGGACTTTATTTATTAGGAGTGTCTTCAAACCTGGATTGACTTAGTACGAGGTAGAGATATTCCGCTCTCGCGGCCATTCTCGTTAGAAAAAGCCGTAGGAGATCCAGTAAAAATTCAAACTTGGCATTTAACCGGGCTACCAGTAGACAGGTATGTTTCTTTTTTGTCTAGTAACGCTACCTTCTACCAAAATTTATGCTTGCAATCTATTTGACTACTGCAAAAGCCAGTTCATTATCAGCTGGAGATAATTTAAGTTAAATAAATTGAAATAACTTGAGTAGTTAATAAGGATTATATTTGTACAAAGCAAAGCATGTCTTAACACAAATACAAATAAAGGATTTGAAGTTAGCTTCAGGGTATATCACACGGTAGTTTTCACATCAATATCCTTAGGATAGACGCAGCTATGACATATACACACACTATACTTTGAAATATGACGCCCGTTAATAAGACTGTTGGACGATATTTATTGTAATGGAATAGTTCTGGAATTGAAATATTACAACATGCCTATTTTATTACTAATAAAACAGTATTCCTGTTTCAGTTTCTCCATCGAGAACGCTCTGATTGTTATGAACACACAAAGGTGGCCACTTATGATTGATCCTCAAAATCAAGCCAATAAATGGATTAAAAATCTAGAGAAACCAAATAATTTGCATGTAAAAACTTGCACTGCTTTTTATAACATATATTAGCATTCATATAAATCTTGCTTATATTGCCTATGTTGCTACTATTATTTAAATTTTTTGATATGTGCTTATAGGTAATTAAGTTGACGGATTCCAATTACATGAGGACATTACAAAATTGTATACAGGTAAATAGCATATTTGCCAATTAATACGGTAATTATTCATTTTCATAGAAGTCATACCATGGTAGCTAAGGAGTGATAGAAACACAATTTTGATAGCTTAATAGCTTGATTTCGCTATAAAAGCTAATTCATCACTAAAGCATTTTTGTAGCTAGAAATGGATGCGTATTTTCAATTTAGATAGATGATCATAATTTGATTCGCCGTTGCTTTGCAGTTTGGTACACCAATTTTATTAGAAAATGTTGGTGAAGAACTGGATCCAGCATTAGAACCTCTTTTACTGAAGCTAACATTCAAGCAGGCATGTGCTCTAATCTTAGGTTTATAAAATGGTCCTATTTAAATTGCAAATAAACATTTATATATTCAGTCTTGTTTAATAAATTATACCTCAATTTTCCTGTAAGTTGATTTGCTTATGTAATATCAGTTCTATAGCTTTACATTTTATAAAAAGATGAGTAAGGATATTAGGATTGCTTCTCCTATATATTGAAAGTAATCTCATGTTATCGAAATTTGATTTTTTTCATTTTCTAGAATAACATTGACTATATCCGTTTAGGCGACAGTATCATTGAGTATTCGCAAGTGAGTAACAGCAGGGATAAGTTTTAAAAATACTTAACATAAAGTCCTATACTTTGGGCATTAACTGATTGTTATAAATTTCCTACATGATAGGATTTTCGATTTTATATAACATCATGCCTAAGAAATCCACACTATCTACCAGAAGTTGCTATAAGGGTATCTATCTCTGGCCAATTGTAGCGATTGTTAAACACAGCAATAAAAAAACTAATACAGTACTTTAATTTTAGGTAAATGTATTAAATTTTGTAATTACTGCGCCTGGGTTGGAAGACCAGATGCTAAGCATAGTGACTGCTAAAGAAAAGCCAGTGCTAGAAGAAAAGAAAAATGCATTGATTGAAGAAAGTGCTAAAAATCGTAAACAGGTACCTATACTCGTATACTCAGTAGCTACTACACAACGAAAGGGACATCTACTTTTCTCCTAAACTTTTCATTGTAAATGTCTATTAGCTGAAAGATATCGAAGATAAGATATTAGAAGTACTTTCGTCTTCCGAAGGAAATATCTTAGAAGATGAAACTGGAGTTGAGGTACATTTTCAGTTTGTGAAATCAGATTATTAATTCATATGAGATAGAGATGAATATTATGGAGTAAAATTTCGTATGAGCACGTACGGCATTTTAAAGGAGATTGGTATATAAAATATTTGCATCTAAACTTTCACAATGGGAACATTTAATAAGATATAAAGAGGATATTCTGATTGATCCTATATTCTCTAACTTAATTGATAATTATAAAATTTCTATCATCAAAGATCCTGTCATCGAGTCGAGTGCTAGCTAGAGAAATCGCTGATAAAGAGGAAATTACAAGTAGAACTGAAAAGGAAATTGATGAAGCGCGTGAATACTTAAGACCTGTGGGTTTAATTGACTTTGAAACCGCTACAAAAATAATAAAATATTCTCTTTGAAGGCACAATAATTACTCATCATTATTCATTCTTTGCTACTCTAGGTGGCTAACCACTCTGCAGTACTATTTTTTATTATATCTGACTTAGCCAACATTGAACCCACGTATCAATACTCTTTAACTTGGTTTATAAACTTATTTATCAGGGTATTTCTTCTTAAATTGCATACTGTATACGTAAATCGAGTACTTCTACATTTTGTAGATGGATTTATCATCATTAAAATTTTTGTTAATAATTATAATTAATAAGATATTAATAATCATAATATATTGATCGTTTCCGTATCTTAAAGTCTATCCGGGACAGTCAGGGATCAGATGAACTAAACGAACGAATATCAGCATTAAATAAACATTTTACATATAGGTAGGGTCTAATAGCATTTGTGCTAACCTTTAGTTTAGAAGATGTGTTAAGACTATTGACTTGGAAATAGGTTATTGAAATGAATAAATTTATTTAATATATTAATTTTTAATCTTCTAATCCAAATTTAGTATCTATCAGAACGTTAGCAGATCCTTATTTGAAAAGGATAAAATCTTATTTTCTTTGCTGCTTTGCATAGGAATTGAAAAGAATAGGTTTAAATCTTTTTATGTGTACTAAACATTCCTGTCGTTCTTATTCATTGATTGCGGCTGGTCAGCTAACCTAAATTTGTTTAAAATTAATTCTTTTATACATTATGTAGCAACGCTTTCAACGAGGGCCAGTGGCGATATTTATTGACCGGCAATATTTCAATTAATAATCCCTATAAAAACCCAGCATCCGATTGGCTGGCAGAGAAATCATGGTCAGACATTGTAGGCTGCAACAACTTATCCAACTTTGATGGATTTGTTGAACACTTTGAAGCCAATGTAAGTCAGTTTTGATCAAAAGCAATATTCATTAAGTTTTAAATAGTCTGTTAATAATTTCATTAAACTTGTATAAGTAAAGAATCTGAAAATATCGTATCCCTAGACGCCAGCATGGGAGAGCTATTACAATTCAAAGGAGCCTCAGTCAGAGCCATTGCCCGAACCCTGGAATGAAAAACTATCAGAATTTGAAAAACTAATTGTACTAAGATGCTTTAGAAAAGACAAAGTACGTAATTTTATTATTTATTAAGATACTTTTAAAACATTAATGCTGGTAGGAATTATAAGAACTATGAACTAGGACGAGTATTATACATTTATCTGACAGAACTTAGTTCTGCTCGTATAAATGGCCTAGGTCAGCATAAAAATATAGAACTGGAACGACAGCATTTAATCCAAAACATCGAAACATTTAGCTTGAACGAAGAATTTTTAAAATGATAAATGTAAAACCGATACTTGAAAAGTAAACTATTTCTACTTTTACCATGTTCATGTAATTATTAGGTACCTCATGCCATTCGGGAATATATTATTAATCACCTCGGCAAAGAATATGTTGAACCACCAGCATTTGATTTAACTAGAAGTTTCTTAGAATCAAGTCATATTGTTCCTCTCATATTTGTTCTGTCACCTGGTGCAGATCCATTAAGTTTATTACTAAAATTTGCAGACGATTCAGGTTTGAGACATGCAATGTTACGATTATAATTAGACTGAATTACAATTGTGGCTTTCATTTTCAGAATTTATTACCCATGATGTTAATTTCTTTTTTTTGGATACTATTACTACAGGACCGGGCAGAAAAAATTGTCAGAGTATTTCTCTAGGACAGGGTCAAGGTCCTGTTGCAACCTCCTTAATTCAAAAGGTACTTAAAAATCAGCAATCTGTAAACATGATCTAAATTTAGTAACCATCGAAGAATTACAAAAATTTAAATAAAATAATTGAATTCTTCCTAAGTATTTCCTAATTACTAATTTATGACCTTGATGACAGATCTTAGTTTGATATATGTATCAAGAACTTGCAAACTGATATTGCAATGTGAAATTCAAAAGTGTGTTTCGCACTGAATGTTAGAATAAAACTGTTGAATGCATCTGCTATTACGGTTACTAAATTATTAATCTAACTCATAGGCAATGAAAGACGGTAAATGGGTTGTTTTACAAAACTGTCATTTAGCAGTTTCATGGTTACCAACACTAGAGAAAATCTGTGAGGAGGTGAGATTTTGAAGGATTTGGTATCTCTTCGCAAAATAGACTACTATGATTTATCAGCTAACTATCCCATCTAAACTGATCGCGTCTTAGGAAATTGTAGCCGATAAAGCTCATGCAAACTTTAGATTATGGCTAACTAGTTACCCTTCTGAACACTTTCCCGTTCCAATCCTACAACGCTGTAAGTAAATTTCCTACGTACGTAATGTACATAGATTCAGAGCAGTCAATCTTAAGGCATTAAGTTTTAACTTGTTGTCTAACGTCAACTTGAACTTTGGATACAAATTTCTCTTTTCATTTAGGTGTTAAAATGACTAATGAAATTCCAAAAGGCTTAAAATCAAATCTGTTTCGATCTTACACAACGGATCCAATTTCAAATCAGCAATTTTTCAATGGCTGTGACAAGACAAAGGTAGCATTTTCTTGATAGATTTTTCGTCATACTGGATAATAATCAGTTTTAAATTTTTATGGTCTTCTATAATCCAGGAATGGAGAAAATTATTATTTGGACTATGCTTTTTCCATGCATTGGTACAAGAACGACGATCATTCGGTCCTTTAGGATGGAATATTCCGTATGAGTTCAATGATTCTGACCTACACATTAGTGTTAGACAAGCGCAGGTAGTTTTAATGTTGACCTTTCAAGAGATGTTATTTCACTTCTTAACCTTACTCATTGGGTTACTAATTATGTATTATGGACTATTTTGCACTAGAATTTCCTAAATGAATATGAAGTTGTTCCACTGGACGCTTTAACCTACGTTATTGGTCAATGCAATTATGGTGGTCGAGTTACTGATGATTGGGATCGCCGTTTATTACTAAGTTTACTATCGAGGTTCTTTAATCATCAACTTCTAGAGGATGAGCAATACAAATTTTGCAATAACGAAATGTATTATTCTCCTGCAGATGTAAGTGGGAATGAATTAATTGGTCTTCAATCTTACGATTTTCTAATCCCTAATAATCGATATTTTAAAAATTATATTTAGAATGATTACAACCATTACATTGACTACATCAAATCGCTACCACTTACAGCTCATCCAGAGGTATTTACAAGCAGATAATTTGAAGTCTATACCTAATTGCATGATGTTCTACGTACGATTAGTAATATATGAAAGAATAGTTTTATTTTGAATCGGAGCGAATTATTTTGACAGTTTTAAAAAATCTTACAATAGTAAGAATTTACCTTGCTAATTATCTGGACAGTTTTAATCTTATAATAGTAACAGTTTACCTTGCTGTACTGCTGTATTTCTATGAGGTGGATTACATAACGTAAAATACTAAGAAACTAGGATATACGATCCCGCTAGACTACTTGTATTTTGATCATCAAATTTTACTATTTAGCTTGCAATCATGCTCTGTAGTTTCTTTATAATAAATTTAGTAATCCTCGAGTCTAAAGATTGCTTTTACATTTCTTATTTGCAAGGCATACGGATTACACGAAAATGCCGATATAACACGAGAGCTAAAAGATACACAAGAGTTATTCACTGGTGTTTTAGCTACACAACCACGTGAGGTAAGTCATAAAATCCAAGTTTTGTAATTATAGAAAGCAAAATTTTCGAGCTTAAAATTAACTGCGATACTTACTTAAGGTGGCTAATAAAGGAAAATCACCGCAAGATACTGTTTATGATATGTGCTCCGATATATTGTCAAATATGTCCGATGAATTTTCCGTTAAAGATATAACGGTAAGACGAAAAAACTAAAAATTCTTCCATTACTTGATTCCAGGGATTTAATCTACTTTATAAAATACTCGATAATTTTATGTTATTGGTTAATCTCTCGCGATGAAATTGTAATAATAAAGTTATTGATTGTAGACCTCATATCCAGTGCGGTATGAAGATTCTATGAATACTGTTCTGACTCAAGAAATAATAAGGTATCGATCGCAGTTACTACCACTTTAGAGCTCTATTTCTTATAAAGCTGTCATTTATACGAAATGTACTTACACGATTATGTACTATATAATAGATTCAATCGGCTAATTGCTGTAATCCAATCTAGTCTAAGAAACATGCAAAAAGCTATCAAAGTAAACTATTTGAATTTTAAATAAACCATACTTGGAACACAATTGAATTTCTAAATTTAAGTTTAAATTCTCTTTGAAATCTTTATTAGGGTCAAATCATAATGTCCGCTGAATTAGAGAGTGCATTTGATTGCTTATTAGCTGGCAAGGTGAATGAAATGCTTATAATTAACTAAAATGCACTAAATTATTTTAAATAGAAATCTTTCTTGTTGGTTTTTACGTTCATGCCGCGGCCATTGGGGAATTTCTTTTATCCATGGTTCACATCTAATTAGATTTTCATTAATTGTTGACAGGTTCCAAATGCTTGGATGAAAAAATCTTATCCATCTTTGAAACCATTAGGCGGATACATACTAGATTTATTTGCTAGATTACAATTCTTTCAGGTAGATCAGTATAGGCTTAAATTTTCATATTAGAAGTTAAATTATTGGCTTTGTTGATTTTAAATGACTGTTTTCTTATTATTAATATCAAGGAATGGGTAGCTAATGGACATCCTACCGTTTACTGGTTATCAGGATTCTACTTTACGCAGTCATTTTTAACCGGTAATAATTCTTAAAATGCCAGTTTCAATTCACTAATTCCGACAATTTATCAACTATTTGTACAGTTATTTCACAACTTATAATTTATGTTTATATCCCTACGATGGCTACGATATTAATGGATATTTTACATATCTTTATAGCTATTACTACTTTAAACTATATTACCATGATATCTTATATTATAGGCATACTTCAGAATCATTCGCGAAAGGCAAAAATTCCGATAGATTTACTAAGTTTCGACTTTCAGGTTCTTGACAATAAATTTGAAGCTAAATCTAAGCCGGTAAGGACTATTAAAGTAGTTTAATTAGTATGAATTTGTGCAACCATATTTTTAATGATGTTATTAAAAGTGGGATGGAATATTTGTAGGTGGATGGAGTCTATGTCTACGGATTATATTTGGAGGGGGCAAGATGGAATAACGCTGATAAGGTAAGATGCCAAAAATATACGGATCTACCCATTATCATTATTTAATTTACATAATCTCGAGTATCATAAATGAAGCGACCGCATCAGTGTTTACGAACTTTTCTACGGTTATAGGTCCTAGCCGAATCACGCTCAACCGTGTTATATGACAGTCTTCCAAAAGTATCCTTAATATTACTTAGTATTTTCAACATAATATATATGAATATGAAGAAATGATTCTACACAATGGAGACTACGTTATATTTGTCAAAATAGAATGCACTATGTGATAAAATTGAGCTGGAAAAGAATTTTATTATATTTTTATATAAGAGAAGAGCTTTTCATTAACTAATTCAACAGATTTGGATGAAACCGAAACTGAAAAATTCCATTGATGTTAATGGTAGATACGAGTGCCCAGTCTATAAGACAAGTGCAAGAAGAGGCATTTTGTCTACAACTGGTATATGACAATTTATTGATTTCTACTAATTTATATAGTTGAGCGTATTTATTATATATGTTTATACTATATTGAATAAATTGCTTTAGACTGAGAGCCTCTAAAGTAGCTTTCCGCTAATCCTGTTTTATACAAATTCTACAATCGTTATATCCATTTAGGTCATTCAACAAACTATGTGCTAGCCATTTACATGCAATCGGATAAGCCACCTAGTCACTGGATTGACCGCGGTGTAGCTTTACTGTGTCAATTAGACGATTAATGGTTATAAAATTTAACAGAATCTTAAAAAATATTAGCTGTTGTTTATATCACTAAATATACATTTTACCGAATGCGAGCGTGCGCGTGTAGAATTGATTATTAGTACTGTAATTTTATTATCTTACATTAATCATATTCACTATTGTAAAGCTATGAAAGTAATAAATTGAAATTAATTGCCATCGCAATTTACTTTGATGATCTTGGCGATGGTATGAACGGTAATTCATAAACTAAAGTTCTTAAACAGCAAAATGAGTTTACTGTTTACCGTATCATTTATTTTTTGATTATTTCGATTCTAAAGATACTAACTGAATAGCACTAGAGGTAGCGTTATTAAAAATATTTTATGATTTTATCTGTAACTTTTAAAATAAATATCCAACAATTGTTTCATATTATTCTTAAGAGTATGCAATGCTAACATTCATTTAGCTATTAAATTTAAATTTAAACTTAGCTCTCATTACCGAATAAACATTGAGTCAGCCTAAATTGATGTACTTTTTATTGACTGGAAGTATTTTCAAGCAGTAAGCTATTAATTCATATATCAATTTAATTTCGATCAGCTTTTAAAAAAATTTAGCACTTACTACTACGCTAAGCATTGTATTGCAATGTGTGTAGTTCTATAAATGAACTATCTCTTATCTATAATAAAATTAGATTATCGCGACGCTAATTATTTTATATGCGATATACTTAGATATTATTTTATCATCAAAAGACCTTGATAAAGTGTTTGATATTTAGATAATTATGTAATTTGGTAATTTGATTAGAATAACTTTAGTGTAATTCCTAAATTCACATTAGTGTTTAAGACTGTTCATCTGCGAGTTACAGACTAGCGAAACATGAATCCATGTACGTTTATCGTAGTAGTTACTTAGTGTTTTTTACGTTATTTATAATAGCCCAATTTAGAATTTGTTATATCATTCAGCCAAAAGCAGCCTTTCAATCTTGTCGTATTGTTTTATTCGATAAATTTAATTCTGTTTTAAAATTCAGTACATCAAATCAGAAGTAATTAACGTATAATTTTGCATGTTAAATTGCTAGTAAAGGCATATTTATGCGCTGACATTCCCTTCAACTTTTGCTCAAAGTTCAATAATTGTAGCAAGTTAGATAGAAAGAGATACAGATTGTATTCAATGCTTTGGTTCATACATTATTGGGAAGAAATTACGAACTTTACAGCTCTGGTATAGTTAATCAACCAGTTAAACGAATAAATGTTATTGAAAATTGTTACTCAGTACAGTATCTTTCATATACATATTTCTGTTAGTCGTCATTATATCTACATGTATATCAGGATATGCTTGTTTTTACATTCTACCTTAACTCAAGCAATAGCATGCTGCCGATGTGAATAAATTTTAGTTTCTGGATTAATAACGATAGCAATATTACTAAGATGCATTAAACATTTTACAAATATTAATGTAAAATATGGGAAAAATTATTGTCTTCATGTTTATAGATCATGCAGCGTTAATTGCAATTACTGTTCATATCTCAAACCGTTAACTATGAGAGTTACTTTCACAGGTTATTAATTTTTATACTAATAAATCAGTCTAATAGAGCAAAGTGTAAGTATATAACATATATTTTGCCTAAATTGTTCAATAAAGCTAGTTAACTTTAGTTACATAGATGAAAACAGCACAGTTAATTTTCTATGATTGAAAGTTTAAAAAAAAATGGAAAGGCGTTACTAGTGTAGCAAATAAAAACGCAGGATAACAGAGCAATTTAAAATTTCTACGCAATCTATTTTTCGTGTCTAGTTCCGCATACTATATAACATGCATTAGAAGCTAAAAGCATAGCTAATCGTTCAGCAGTATCCAATTGAGCTATTCTATGATTTTGTATAGCTAATATTACAGAATCAGTAATATCAAATTAGCATATTTTATAATCCACAATAACTGGCAGCATTAATACATTTAGCATACAAAGGAATAATTGATCATAAAAACCATATGTTGCTCTAGTAGAAATTATCAGCTATTAGAAGCAACCTATTCATCATCTTCTATAACTTACTGCAATATTCATTAAAGCAAATTTCATCATAAACCAATTCAGAATAATGATGAAGTCAATTCCTAATTACTCTTATGGCAATAAATATATAGCATTACATTCACTTGTTCTTATGTTAGGAGTTAAATTTGATCTTTGGTTATGCGATAAAATGTAAAATTAGATCATATCGTGTTTATAAATGCCTTATTCAAGGCAATATTCAGGATTTTGATTTTATTCGAAATCGATTACATTTACGATTAATGATCAAATCTATCACTTCACTACATGAACCTCAAGTGGCAGTTATCGTCATGAATTAAAACAACAGACCGTGTTCTTTAATATTTTTTTGTAGTATAACGTCGGTTACTGCAGCAAATACAAATACTATATTTTCTGTATCGGTAGCACACGTGAAATGAGAATAGATGGTCTTTTCTTTCCCATTACTATTGAGAGATATAAATTTCTTTTGTATATAACTTGTTGTTTCTTCATAACTATTTGTTCCTAAAATTTAAGCGCAATTATAGGTTAGTGTATAGTTTTTTATGCTTAATTCAAGAAATAGATGTTGTGTATTAACGAATTATCTAAACTAATTATAGCTCAGACTGTGCTTCCTAGATAATTATAGCTCATTTATTCTTTGCAATGGTTCATATTACAGTTTTTTACCATTATATTCCGGAAAACAAGTGGTAATAGGAGATTTTCTAATTTTTTCTTTAAAGATATCAGTCTTGTTTAAGAATAATATGATAGAGGTTTTCTTAAACCATTGATTATTACAGACTGAATCGAATAAATTTAGGCTTTCTTTCATTCGATTCTAATAGTTTTTTAATGAAACATGTATGTATTAGCGTTTAAAATATGATAATATTAAAAATGCTATCAGCTGTAGCTAAACATATTCGAAGATTACAACTAATTTTCATCCGTTTTACCGTAAAATAGTCTTCCTGCAAGACCAAATCATATGCACTTAAAGCCGCGCAAAATATAACTGCAGTAACATTTTCAAAACAGTGTATCCATTTCCTTCTTTCACTACGCTGCCCACCGACATCGATCATTCTAGTTTGAGAAAGTAATCGGTAGAAATAGAAGATTAAAGTCTATTACGTAGCCTTTGACGATAAAGTATGGCGATTGGCAGTTATGTAATGTAGTTATGAGTAAACAGAGCAGAAATTGATGAGTGTAATGGAGAATATAGTGAAATCGACTACAATATTATTGCCGACTAAAAATTTACCTACAAGTAATTCTATATTGATATCTTACTTAAACTCAAGACCCTTGTATTCAAATTCTGTTTCTTTAATAGAGCTGGTTTTAACCCTTGCTCGTAATATATCTTGCTCCGATGGTAAATAAGAATCTTGTACCAGGCGATCTAAGTCATCTAGATAGCTAAAATAAATCGTGTTTCGTTAATACTGCAAAAGTTCCATTACCAATTCCGTCACTTTGTCTACTTGTTTATACCGTACTTATTGGACATCGTATAAAAATTTATTATTAACTTGGTACAGATCTAGCAATTATACTGTATAGCCTCCATGAAATTTTTATATTCATTTACAGTAGTCATCGAATTTAATAGTTTATATGCATTCATTTTCCTTACTATGATGCAGAATCCATTAACTGATATTCTCTAGAGCGATTAAAACATTTCTGTACATCAGGATCATTCCACAATCGTTTCATAATCTTTTTTAACTCTGGCGTAACTTCATCAGGACTATCATATATTAATCTTAGAAAATCTTCAGCATCGATCTGATTGGACAAATCAATATTTCATTTTAATAACTTTTATTAAATTATCTATTTCTGCAATGAGCACTCCAACGATAATACTCACCTTTGTATGAGAACGTGAAATATCGATTTTTAAAACTTTCATAGCTTCAATAATTGCTTTTAACGAATAAATAGCATTACAATGGATTATTGATTTATATTGCTGTCGATCTTCATCTGAATAGCCACTTTCATGGATAATCCTATATAAAATATATCGCAAGATAGATATGATAGAAGGGCATTATTGATATTATTTCATTCAGTAGCTCAAAACATTTAATGGTTATTACTAGAAATAATGCAGAGTTGTAATTTAGAACATAGTAAAGAATTTTATTGATTTCGTACCGCATTTGCTTGGCAATTGTACTTTTACCAGATTCACCAGCGCCTATTAATTAATAATTTGAACCAATGCGTAAAATTAGCAAATTGAAGTTGTAATTTTAATAGTAATGGGAGATGACTAACCCTAATTCTTTAACCTACACCTAGTGAACCAGTATTGTACTACTGTTACATCAGTAATGAAATAAGAATAGATAAATTCTGAAAGAAAATTATTTGCTATCATCCAATAGTTCAATGATTCGGCAGAACCGAATCATGTGGAACTGATTAACTTTCCTATCTATATGCTCATCGCTGATGAAGAGGTGATGCAAATAAATTTTATAAAAATGCTCTACTATACAAGACTGTAAATTAAATAGCACATTTGATTAATTTTATTTTTTGTAATTTCTATTTGATAACTGAAAGCAGATATTTCAAAACTATACAAGTTATTTTATATGCTTCATCATTATAAATTCTGAAAAATAAGAGTAGATAAGAGTGGAATAGTTACATGAAAGATGTTTTTTATTTACGTTGATTAAATCGTTATTTATTAGTAGTCGATTTCAAAGACGTAAAAGTTCCTAATGCGCCTTATGAGTCTTGATACACGATATTTCTTATTTCACTCAAGGGCCAACTAGAAATTTTAATGTCGTCATATGTTATGCATAAATAGAGTATTATTATACTTGTTTGTTTGTTAAGACAGCACTCCATAAACATTGACAAATGACATTAGAATGAGTAAAAAATTTTCTTTCAATGTTCGATACTAAGCAAAAACGTTGACTTTCTTGTAAGGAATCGTCAATTTTTGATTGAAATGTATGCCAAACGTTTTACGTATTTAAAATAATTAACCAGCTATAAATTAATGATAACCTGCAGCTATGACTACTTTCTTAAAAGGGATAACAATAATAACAATATCACAAACAACAACAACAAGGAAAGAAGAATTGCTGTATCAGTTGGTTAAAACTACTGTATGCTGGCCTTCTTGGTGTAGTCTGAAATGTCTATACAGTATTTGAGATTTCATTACTAATAATGATGTTTAAATCAAGTATTACGAAATCGATAGTTTAGACCATAAAATTGTTCGAACTTGTATAAAAATTCGAAATGAGACTATTTTACTTAGAGTTTTCCCACAGTCTTTATTAAAAATCAAATCGTAATGCCGCTCATATTTATTCTAATGCCATTTGCTAGAAAAGGAAAGTCTAGCCTGTAGTAAACTTAAGATCAGATCTAGTTATGGCCAATTCATTGCAATCCTTAGAAAAGAGGTATAAAGCTTATAATTGTAATTTTTTAATCATTAAAGCAATTCAGAAAGCATAAATTATACTAAGAAAGTAATGGGTTCAAAAACGATCAAGATCTAATCCATGATATAGGTGCCAGATTGACAATTTGTTAAATTTGGGGAATTTATGATGAAATTAAGTAAGCAACAAACTACTCTTTCGAAATGATTTTACAAGTATCTAGTCTTGCTAATTCTAATGTAAATTTATGAGATAGATACTCACTTGCGCAACTAACTGGCTAAGTCCTGAATTATATCTATACCAGATTATATCACCACACAAATAAACACTATAAGATATTCCGGTTAAAACACTGCCCTTCCCAAGTAAATGCTTAGAATATATTCTTGTAGTATAATAAACTATCCTAAGTGTAATAGATCGCACGTTTTTATCCAACATCTACATCGATATTTATTTCAAGGGCAACTTAATACCTACGAGTATAGTAATATGATAACGCATCTCTAAAACGATAATGTAGGTAGTTGGACTACAAGATTACCTAAATATTTATTCAAGGAAATGAAATTTAGTATACTGTATAAATTGTATTATTTTGGCAGTGATGCCTCTATTAGGCCTATAAATGATTACTAGATTAGCCTAACAGGAGCTGGCTTTCAATTGGAACCACTAGAGCAACATAAGCGTAATTAGATAGCAGCTCGACAAGCTAAACCACTCCAGTAATTCTAAGAAAAATTGTCACCCGATTATACAGCATAAGGTATATAAAGTAAATCCCCCGCCGCTAGAGATGTAATTATTAAATTGCATATCGGTAGAAGAACGAATTTATATTAAACTCGCACAGCGAAGTTAAGAAAAAATTAAATTTTTTGTCATTTTTTCGATGTATATTGCTGCTTTAAGCTTCATATCGTTTACTACTGTATGCTTATTTTATTTCTAAGAAAGGACTGTAAATATTTTATGATATCCTTCACTTACGCGGATATAAATTTATGTCACGGATTTAAAACTAAATTAGCTGCTCTAATTTTAGTTGCGTATCTGCCCTCAATCCTATCTCTAGAAATCGTAATCTTTCATGTGCCTTTTCTTGCTACTACGCTCCGTCCTCTTATACATTTGTTCTTGCTTGCCTATAAACTGAGTCTCACCTAATTGCTGCCACTAAGCCGAACGATATTTTCCTGTCGTCTTGATCTACCTTGTAGTACATAATCAAGAGATCTTAGTCATAATATAACTAGAGAAAATTTAAACCCGTCTTTGCCCTGAATCAACACTGATTATGGGTTGAAACCAATGTATTTCTAGTCAAAAAATTCCATATCTTTCCGTACAATTAAAGTATATTTAAAGCCTGTTCAGCTTCCATACATTTTAAAATAAGGCTTTTGGCGATAGCGCTTAATCAACACTAATGACACGGTTTATATTAATTCAAAGTTTCCTTAGCCGGAGCGTAGGCTCTTATGTACTGGTAAATGCTCCGATTGCAAATATACTTTTAATTAGCAAGTATTTTGTATAAGTTTCTTTCTTGCTTACAATTTAAACTAATGACTACTAACACATGTAGACTAGCATACTAACATACTGGATAGCAAACAAAGTATCGTCAGATGTAACGGTATTTGTTGTTATTTATTCAGCATTGTACTGTAGGGATAAAGGATTAATTAGAATATGGTATATTCTGCATGCGTGCTGAAAAGAGGATTTGATGCGGAAATAATATCCCACAATGCGCAATGGATTAGCTGTAGAATTAAAGAAAATTATTGTAGCCCACCTTCCATACTACAGTTCGAATACTGGGAATAATAATGCGATGAATGACTGAGTTTACAAAAAGATTTTAGAGGCTATCGTTACTACCCATGATATTCCGATGAAAACATACGCGATATGTTCATGATCTGTTCTTGAACTGGTCGTTCCTAGATTAAATTCACGATAACTAAATATCTTCATCGTTGGCATCAATATGATATTGAACAGTTTTTTGACGAAACAGTTTGGGCTTTCTCGAAGCCCCTTTATCCCCTCTTCAATCAAATTTCTATTTATGAATGCTATCAAATACTTTTACTTCATGACAATAGACCAATAAACTATATTATAGGTATTTATACATAGATATCTATAATCCTGCACAAAGATTAACTCCTTAAACTCCTATAGAAATTCTTTCATGATAGTAACCTACTAACAGAGGAAGTAACAAATTACAGCGTTGCTGAAATGGATTATAATGTTAATGGTTACTACTAACAAAACATGGATAGAATACTCATAGTGTCTCTGCTATTTTAATTCTCTATGAATAAGTGTATAGCTAAGAATAAAATATGATTTGTAAGCGTTTATCGATTTGTAGGACTTGAACTGTTGTCTACATGTGAGTGAAGGCGGCAACATTTCGTGATAATGATTTTGATTACTCTAACACTGACCTAGTTTTAAGAACAGTTAATCAGTAACATTTCATGCTGTAACTATAATATACATTCTTAGCTAATAAAAATGAAGAAATGAGCTAGCGATTGATATACGAGTATTTTCAGAGTCAACATAATGGTATATTTCCGCTTAGAACAGTGCTACAGTTAGGTAGAGGTGTATTGTAATATCAAAAGCTAAAAATTTCTACTAGCGTAAAACTATCTGCAATGCCGCATTTTATTGTACAATAATATACCAACTTCCATCATTTTGCTAATCAGGTGAGGAAAGTTATTAAATTCAGTACTGAATCAATACTATTTCATTTAACAGTAACTTTATTACCGAATAAATGAAGAAAAACAAAGAATTGAGTTTAATACTTAGAATCAAAAACATGTCATTTCGATATTGAATTCACGAAGGACTGATAGTACAAAGCAGTCATATTTCTATTTTAGCCTTTTATAAATGAACAATAAACCTATCAGTTGATTGCATACGATCAGTCATAAGCTAGATTATAGTCGAATAGTGTAATTTAAAATCCTAATCTATGTGAAATAAGTTTTTTTTCATTTGCTTCATTACGTAGAATAAAAGTATTTACTTCATCTATTTTACGATTTCCTATTACAGATATCTACGAATAAATAGTTTCAATAAACTTAGACAAGTGCTCTTAAACTAAGGAGTAGAGAGAAGGAGAAGATAAAAAGTCAATTGACTATAGTATTGCGTATTTGAAATCTCATTTATTCGAAGTATGACATCAAATTATACCAGTATTAGCTTAATACCATAGAGAGTAAGATTGTTTATAATATTGTATAGCTATAGCCTTATCGATATTATTGGAATATAGTTGTTGAAATGTGTCAAAAATGTAACTATTACTAAAATTGGAAAGCTTGATTATCTGTAGTATTCAACTTTATATAATGTAGTAAATGGAAAAATAAGTTGAAAACGCTTTTCAGCTGCTACGATATAGATTTAGTGAGCATTGGATATGAAGCATGAAAATTTTAACGTTATGATAGAAACAGAGTTCAATTTCTGATCAAGCATCTCAGATACTGTGATATAATGCAATATTGAATTAATTTATTAATAATATTCTTCTGCCTACGAGATATTACCCGTGGGAAAAAATGTCATCGAAAATTGTTATCACACAGTTTTGAGGAACCAATTACTAACAAATAGTTCGACATAGAATAAGAAACGGATCGCTGCTATAATTTTCCTTGATAGGATTGCCAACTAATCTTGTATGCCCGTGTATTAATACCATTTTAGAAAGGTATTTCATTATCATGACTTATATCTTTTATTCTTAGGGTGACAATTACTTCATAATCTTAATACTGTTACTATCACATTTCGATATGCATGATTATTCTTTATAGCATTTTATTAATAGCTTTATTTTCTTCTATTTCTACCGTCTCATTCGTAAAATTGCTGGAGCAAATTCTTGGATGATAAGTGAAACAAATCAAAGTGTTTTTCTGTTGTTGAATAATGGTAATCTAACGTAGCGTAATTCAGTGGCCTACTTTCTTAGCTTCCTTTACCTCATGCTGGTATAGTAGTTTTGCATACGTACAGTTAAAGCTAATAGATGCATTAATTTGCTTCTTTTTATGTTTCTGAATATGAGTTTTTTCTTCATATTCAATTCCTTAATATTAGCAGGTCTACCAACGACAGACATGACCATATTGATGGCAGTTATAAAAAAACAATATTATAGCGAAATGTACTTAACTTTTAATGAGACAAGCAAATGTATAACCTGTAAAATAAACTACTTTCCACGATGGTATACAAATCAATTCATAGTTTATCTAGACAGGAAAGGATGAGAGTTTAAAAATTTAGTCCAGCCTTTTCTAACGTTTGAGATAATTTCATATCTATGGAACAGATATCATAAAACAATCTTTATGAGGATTATAATTCTGCAACTCCAATGCTAGGTGCTAAGTATGGATGCAGTTGAGCTTTAATATTACAATTACGGTCGATTTCATGTTATATATGAACGAGGCCTACCCATCTTTAATAGGATTTACTATTATATAAAAGATTCATGTCAAGATTGAGTGTAAGAAAGTGTACTTGTTGATTAACGATTCTAAGTTCCATACGTAAAGATAGTTTTAACTAGAAAGTTCAATTTATGGGCTTCATCTCGACATTCAATTCATTTTTTGTGATATTTTAATATGAAATCCATAGAATAAATAGGCTAAGCAGTATATCATCAGTTCCTTGAACGAACAATTACATCAAGAGAAAATGTGTTCATCGATTTGAATCATAAAAACTAATGCGTAAAATTTTTGATATAGCCGATCGTTCACAAAGTCCATAATGGATAATTATTTCTTAGTAAATACATTCAAGACACAAAAGGAAAAATAATACCGATTGCCATTCTCCGAAGATAGGATCAGTATCAATACTTTAAAACGTTATCCTATCCCTATATGCTTAATGCGTAATCAAAAGGCAACACTAGTAGGAAAGGGGTACCGTTCAGTCCGATCAGAAAATAAGACATGTAAAGGGTGGAAAGTAAATTTTATAACGTTACACTGTATAAGTAATCTTTCTATATAGATTGTAAATATAGTTAAATAACCATAGCTTCCAGTTAAAGTAAAAATGAGTAGAAAAGTTATTGATTGTGGAGTAGTATATATATATATAGTCGATCCGTATTTGTACTGCTATGAAATTAAGACTAATCACATCCTAAATAATGCTAGAGTTTTCTGAAGTATTCTATCTATGATAATGGAAAATTGTCAGGGAAAAATGGATGATTCTCACTGATGTACTTAAAAAAAAATTTCCTAGTCTTTTTAAAACTCGCCTTCATTTTATAGTACACTACAGTATCTACTATTAAAATCAATGAACGAATATTGTCTGATTTCATTTATGGATTGAAAGTAAGTACTTACCTAGAAGTAACAACTTTACTTCACTTAAGGACTTGTCTTTTTCATTTTGAATTTTCTTATCAATGTCTGTGCTCTTTTCTCGGGCGGCTTTATCTTCACCACTAACTGTAATACCCATAGTTTTTGTCACACTTTCAGTAGTTAACCATCGGATTAGTCGACCAAAAAGACATGGAAGGATATTTAAGGGAGTAGAGAAGAAAAAAATGTGAATGATGATAAATGACACTTTGCAGAAAATAGAAGTTAAAAAGTATGGAATAAAGCAAAGAAACTTATTTTATTAAATTTAATAATTTAGACTAAATATAAAAACGAGATTAGTTAATATTGTTTGTATGAAGATAGAAAACGAGAGAGTATCTTTAGACCCACTAAAAATAATGAAATATTATAAAAAGTTAAGAACGTTGCTATGCAATTAAAATAGGTAACAAAGCTATTCTACAAGATAACAAATAATTTAAAGTGGTAGTATAGAATAAAAATTAGATAATAAATGTAAAGACAATGGCATGGATAATAGATAATGCATGAAATTTTGATCGAAAAAGTCAATTACAAAAGCGGAAAGAGGAAAATAGAAGTGAGAATATTGGAGTTAAATAGAAATTGACAGGAATAGAAAGTATACTTCAGATTCCAATATTATTATTATCATTTCTTATCAATAATTAAGATATAAAAATAAAATTGACACGGATAAAATTTGTTTTTACTTCGATTTGCTTAGTTTTGACTCTTTTTATCTAATTGATACTGTATAATGCCGAAAGAATGGACGATAAAAAGGATTTCACTGAAAGCTATCCAAGAATGGTAGTCATAGTAAAGAAATTTCTTCATTAAAATAGCGTAAAGCTACAGGATTAAATCAGTATAGAATCCATAGGGTATATATTAACTTAATGATTAAAAATATTATCATGATCTCTTAGTTGTGTATTGATCAAAACTAGTGGTTAATGGATAGAGAAGGATATTAGCTATACTTCGATGAAATCTGTTTGAAAATAGAATACTTGATTGTTATCGGCAACAGTATACAACTGAGGATCTACCAATATGGTAGCAGCTTTGTGCATTGAGACACCAATGTAAATACTCGTACGTAATTAATCAAGTCTTTAATGAACCATTTATTTTTGTGCCCCTATAATCTCGAAAAATTTGATTACGTAAAAATAAAATGGGTTACATTATTTGAAGGGATTTTATGGCATACTAGCCGATATAAGTGATTATTCATTCTACCATGGAATATAAAACATTAATGTATGATTACATTTCAAATTATTATTCACTAATAGTCTTTTAGATATATGCAATTTGAAAAAAAGGCCTACAATATCCACGATGATGATAACTTCTACACTAATAATCAAGACTTATTTGTTAGCGATAATTTAATAAGTTGGGTATATTACTGAATTAAATTTATTCTACGACTTTTTATTCTTTATAATACCGATCTACCGAGTTCTTAATGTGGATCAAATTATTCCATTTAAGACAATCAATAATCTATGGATTGATTATTTTGACTAGCTTTAATTTGCTTCTTATTCTAAGATATAGCAAAGAATGAATAGCCATTCATCAAAAAAAGAAGTGAAATTTAGCAGTCGGTAGATGTTCGACGGTAAATAAGTAAATCCTATATTTATTAGAAATTTGTCATCTTTAATAGTATGCGATACTATGCAACTGCTCGCTAATATTATTTTAATGCTAAGGAATAAGAAATTCTGAAACTGCTATCACATAGCGTGTTTCTGGTAATCAATAACTTAGAGCTAGCATTAAGGGTTAGTAATAGACAAATTTATTAGATATGCTGCATAATATTTTGCGTAAAAAGGAACATATTTAAAGTTATGTATTTTTCTCCCCCTTAATTCTAACACGAAAGTGAAAATGATAAATAATCATATTTCTCCGCTAATTTAATTATAGTCTGTAATATCAACTTTCAAGTCCAAAGTATTACAATTCATGATCAAAGGCATACGAGTGTAGCAATGGGACAATCAAATCAAATCGTTTAGGAAGTATAACAGCCTAATTATTCAATAGTAAATGCTATCAAAATTAAAAATAGTTCTAATAAATTTAGAAAGTAAGCTTGTTTATTTATTCGATCATATTTCGACGAATACGGATACTTTAACTATCTCGTTCTAGACCATAGTTCATAACTAATAAATGGGTATTCAGTATTGAAATATGATAGTGTAGAATGAACATCAGCCGCGCTAATGAACGATCAATACCTTACATCGTACCTATTCTATAAAGAATGAAACAATTTTTTTATAAAGACAATATTGTTCTATATGCGTAAGTAATAGATTTTTCTCTCAATGACAAGAAAACCAGTCAGGATAAAATATATTTCTTCAAATGCCTAAGCACTTTGATTTTTTATCATATTGTGAGTAAGACACACTTGCTTGGTCCCTTGTGATAATGAATAGGAGGTATACAATTGAAGAATTAGGCTGTAAACTAAATTAAGGACTGATTTTAATAATTAAACTACAAATATCAACTATAAATTTATTGTAATAAAGTTGTAGTTAACTCTAATATGTTAACATAGTCATTTTTTACTTATACCAATTTTCATAGATAGTTTATATTGCATACTTATTGTATCAACATTATTTCGTTGCAGCATGTATTATTATAATGAAAAAAACTTCATTTCTAGTATATTATCCGTTCACGACCTTACCAGTATAATGATAACCAATAAGGCATAAAGTATTCATCATTAACGTGGTCAAATGGAATTTTACTAGCATTTATGCCACAGTAAGATGTCTATAATTGTTTAAAACGATGGTATCAGTTAGCTACTAACAGTATATTACTTTCTAATAAGGTAGTACAATAATGTTACTATTCACTAGGGCTCTAAAATGATATTTAAGTTTAGCGATTATTTAGGCATCGTCTTATGATTTTCTACCTTTGATCTTATAAACAGGTTCTTACGCATTTTATTATTAGCGTTAAAGTATACAATCTTCGATGGCTATTTATCTTCCTTCTTTACACTGATATCATTCTAAGAAAAGAATATACTGCAAAGTCGTAGTAGTGTCAATATTTGATTAGAATTTAATCATAAACTAAAAATAAGATACGTTAATGATTACTTTAATGGAACTTTTTTGCCTTGCTAAAGCTTAAAATGAATACTCATTCAGTATGAAATCATCGCATTATTTTTCCGTAACGGGATAATGCTACACATTTCAGATTTATCTCAAATATGTTAACCTAAGTATTCTACCGTACTAAGTTGATTAAATAAATTATTCTTTATATTCTCTATCATTTGACAGCATGTTGTATTAAATGCTGACGTTCTACTGTTCTATTTAATTGTGTTGATTCTATAAAGATCTCTTAAATATAAGCATGGAACTGTAATAGCCTTTCTAGTTTTACTTTAAATATACAATTTTAGAAGCATGCTTGAATGCTATATAGCTATTGATTATTTTAGATGTATGAAAAAGTAAATCACAGACAAGATTGAAAATTTATGATCATTTTCGCTAATCTTTTTCAAAAATCCCATTACATGCTAAACATTAAGTTAAAAAACAAATTCTGAAAGTGAAATTGTATGTGATTTTAAAATAATTTTAGGAAGAAATAATAGGCTCATTTAGTTAATAATATAGTGCTATATGAACAATAGTATTGTAATTTATAATATCTATGACGAATGTAATTGTTTTCACGGTTTTAAGTTTTCTATAATTAGAACTGAATAGTATCTCTTTAAAGCTATCTAGTAGGAAATGATACGGTTGACATCTAAAATTGAAAGGAAACACAAACAAATTTCGAGATAAGAATGCAATTTAGTTAATTTGCTACGCGACTAAATTACGATAGTTAACGTTTCTAGTAATCATCGAATCCATCGGTGGCACCATCAACATTATCCTTGCTAGTATAATGGTCTTATTATCATATTGCAGTTTACTAACTCGGTACCGTTACTTCAAATAGAAATGAACTTTATTGATTCTTACAACTCTTAATAGGTAAACTTATCATTGTAACCTAACTACTCCCTTCACTACTCTGATGTCTTTACTAGAAAGTTGATTCATACATAGAGTACAGCTAAGCTATCAAAAATTCTATAATTAAGTGTTAAATTTATACTTTCGTGAAATGGGTCCGGTAATGATACAATCTTTTGTTAATATATCGCAATTAACTTTAGAGCTTTAATACTTCAAATAATAAGTAAATTTTGGCTTAATAATAAATTATTGGCTCACATAAGCTTGTTAGATGTCCAAAACGATGCAATATTGCTCTTACTAGTATGTGTATATTGATTTTAGTGCTCTTTGTAAGTGATATTCATATAGTCGAGCTATAAAATAATTACTAATTGAAAAGAAAACATGCTAGAATGTTTAGTCTAGGGGATGTTCGACTGCTGTAATATCCTAGCAATGAATGATGTCCAGTTCTTCGAATGATATAGAAAGTTAAATGTTGAAAAGAGAATGTGCGCAACAGATTTTACAATTTATTTTGGCTTAAACTATAGTTTGCAATAAATGTACGCAGGATGTGTAAAGCAATCATTTGTTATATAGTTTATATGAGCGCATCCAAACGCAAAATCACGATACAGCCAGGCAGTTTATATACGTCATAGATAGTTGATTTATAAATCAAATAGGTATTTAATTACTTCTTATTAAAACAGATAGATAAGCTGCGGAGTAGGAATGGTAATCATAGATGGAAAGAATGATAAGCTTAAAATAAACTGCTGGTATATCCTGAAGACATAAGAAAGCGTGATGAAAGATAGAATGACAAACTGCTTTTCAAATAAATAGCCACAGTACTAGAAACTACATGGCTACATCTAGCTGGACTAAAGTTTAGAGCTGGTAATACTAGCCGGGAAACTTCATCTATTCTGTAATAATAATATCAATACACTGTATATAATAATTCCTAAAGGAGAGTCAAGTAGCTGTATGTAGATACTTTTTACGCTGCTAACTAAAGTTTTTCCTCTCTTCAGTCATCAGTATTTAAGTTATGGTACTTTTTAAGCAGTTTCAC